CTGGCTGGCCTGGCTGCCTGGCTGCCTGGCTGCCTGGCTGGCTGGCTGGCTGGCTGGCTGGCTGGCTGGCTGGCTGGCTGGCCTGGTTGCACCTATAGTTCATTGCGCTCAGGCCCGAAGGACTTTATCAGGGTCTTCACGGAAAGGTTTCCTGCAGGTTTTGGGGTTTAGATTTCAGGATTTGGCCCCTGAGCCCTAGACCTACAAAAAACCCAAAACCCTAAACCCTTAACCCTCAGCTCTAAACCACCCTAAACCCTAAGCCCTAAACCCGAGATTGGTAAAGCCCTTACATTTTGGGCTCGGGGTCTAGGGTTTGGGCGATCATGGGGTTTAAAGTCTAAGGTTTGCCACAAAAACAAAGCCTGTACCAAGGACAGTGTGGTTTTGAGGACGATTCGGCATTCTGTTTGGTGCCTCTTAGTTGATTTATGTCACTATATGCCCCAAAGCACACCGGCTAGCTCCCTGCGTTCTGCCCAACAGTTCGGGCTCACCCATCTCAGGGTCCAGAGCTGCTTAGGACTCTTGAAGGATGAGGAAACCGAGAAAACCCAGGGCTTAAGGTTTATATGACAGCCCCTACAATCAATACAGCATGAAGGCCCCTGTGCTCGAAGGCCCTGCAGCAGCCTGGAGCTCTACCTAAGCCCTAAACCCTAATCCGCTACCCCAAACCCTATACCATAGCCTGCCGTATACCCTAAACCCTAAACCCTAAATCCAAAAAACTTGGGGCAGCGGCCACCCTTCCATGTGACCGAGCGGTTGAGCAAGGTGACAGGCTCCGCCTCGCAGAATGGGGCTGAAGGCTTGATCTATAAGGGTTCTATTGACCCCAAACCCAAACCCTTGTAGGGTTTAGGGTTTAGGGTTTTGGCGGTTCCGGGTTGTAGGGTTTGGGATTTAGGGTTTAGGGTTTAGGTGGTTCCGTGCTGTAGGGTTTAGGATTTAAGGGTTTAGGGGTCTAGGGACTTGGGGCTTAGGGCTTAAGGATAAGGATCTAGGGTCCGTAGTCCTCCTGCCATGCAGAAGTCATAGGTCGTGTTTGCATTAAACCCCAACCCTAAGCCCTACACTAAATAACCCACCTCTTTTACATGAGGAACTCAGAATAAGGAGCCCTAAAAAGGTAGGTTCTTTAGGCTAAACCCTACAGCTGAGTGCAGGCTCAGGGGATCCGAAGAACTGCTTTGAGCAGGAGCACCAAAAGCCCTTAAACCCCCAACCCTAAGCCTAAGGCCTAGGGCCTTGAGCCTCCCACCACGCCACGCAGCCATGGGCATGGAGCCCAAAGCACAAGACAGCCATTTCTAAACATCGTAAACCCCAGAACCAAAACCGAAACCCTAACATCCTAACACCCAGAAAAAGACCCAGATCTGAAACTAAAAGCCCCTGAAACACCCTGGAACCCTAAACCCGAAGACCCACAACCGGAATGTTCGAGGTCTTTTTGGGGCCGAGACTGGCAGCCCGGGTGGTCGGTTGGCTCCCAGGGCAGCCGCGCCTGTCACTTTGGGTTTCCGGCCCTGGACTACATGGGGTACTCTAGAGCGTACTAAGGGTACTACAAGGGCTACTTTCACCGAGATCAAAGGTTCTGCTGTTCAGGGATTTCAGGATTTGGAGCTTTGCTGTCTTGGGGCCTTAGCTCTGTTTTGTGGCTCAGGGGAGGGCCTCGGCTTTCGGTTTGCAGGCTGCTTGTGAATTTTAAGGCTGGGATGCCTGGGCTTCGTGGTTTAGCAGTTAACACTTGGGGGCTGTGGGATTTAGGGCAGTCTCCAGGTGTCAAGCCTTGCGGGCGGGGTTTTGGGTTAGGAGATAAGGCTCTGGGGCTCTGTGGGTTTTAAGGCGGGCTCTAGAGTTTCAGGGTTTCGGGTCTGAGCGGTTTCCGATCTGGGATCTAGAGATTCAAGGGTGCATAGATACACATACATAGATACATATGTACACACTCACAAACAAGCATGAGTACATACATACAAAGACAAATGCACACATGACATTACAATATGGCACAGCACAGCACAGTGTGTTACAGCACAGTACATACATACATACATACATACATACATACATACATACATACATACATCCATGCATACATGCATGCATGCA